TGCATGACTCATGCAGTCCAGTGTCACTCAGACCTCAGTGGAAAGCAGGACGTCCACAAGGCAAACAGTGATGCACGTGCTATTCGAGGAATGAGGATGAAAACGGAGCTGGAAAATGTGTTTCTGCTGCCCCAATTCTAAGTTTTCCATAACTTGTTCAGCTTCCCCCACCTCCTCCTCCTCTTCCTCTTCCTTGTTTTTTCATGGCCAATTCTTAAAAAGTGATGACGACAAAGGCGAACGGATGACTGAACAGCAGGTCCACATGAATCAGTGGGCTAAAGAGGCATATGGTGTGCAGAAAGCACATTTAAGACCGCATGTAGAGCATGGGCCCGAAAATCTATCGGTGCCCCAAGGGAATATCTTCAGAAACTGAGCCGTCTGTCTTTGTTACAACCTCACTTGACGGTGATACACACGTCAGTTCAAGCTAAAACGAAATCAAAGTCACCTAAAAGTCAACCTCATTTAGTCAATTTTGCCCGACTAAATGAGCGAGTGACGAGCAGTCGTGCTCAGACATGTCCGTTAAACAGAGAAAGAAAAGGAAATTTGTGTTGATCACAAACCAGTTAGTTCAAAATGTGGCGTACCGCATACAATTAGCAGTCAAAATAAACAGCTTTACTGTAGCTACTGCTATCTTTCCAGAAGTTGTGCCCACAATTAATCTTACAGAAAAATCACCTGGAATAAGATGGATGAGCAGTTAATATGCTACCTGCAGTAGATTAATCTCTTTGCATCTATATTTAAAATAAACCAATTTCGGTTGGTCGTGACAAATCAGGACCAAAGAAGATTTCTGCCATCTGAAAGCAACTGAAAGGCGGATTAAGTAATCACCGTTTCATGAAAAACCATTTTTAAATTTACTCTCTGTGTTTTAGTTTTTTCCCCCAAAGCAGCTCATGATTGTCTATGGGAAACAGTGATTAGAGGTGGTGCATCGCCATTGATCTTCCCCAGTGAAACATGCCGAGAACTGAGCGAAAAGCAACAGAAAGACAATAAGGTGGTGCAAAATTCCATAAATTTGGCATTTTCTATAACAACTATAATGTTTTTGCTTTTCGTAGTTCTTTCGGTTTTCAGACAATTGGTGCCACACTGAGTCCAGCTTCCGTTTCCTGTGTAAATAACCATTTACTTTAAACGTAATGACAGTTTAAATGTTCATAAAGTAGCATTTGCTCAAGCGCCGTTTTACTCATTTCCCTTTTGACGATTAAGTATTTTCAAGATGGCAGACCTCCACTTTGGCCTTGGTCCATCTAGACCAGACGACCCACTAATCAGGATTTGTATTAAACTAAGATACCAAGAAACTTATCAAGTGAAGGTAAGACATTAACTCCTTAAAATCAACACAAGCACACCAACTCCCATGTTTTATGCTTGGCCTACACCGATTAGCTTGTTACAGTGTCCCTCTCTGAGCAGTATTTGCCAGATAAGCAGCTCCTCTTGCGTGTGTCTCTTAATCTCGCTCCACATTATTCAAACCAGCTCAGACGGATTGTTTGGCCCCTTCACTTTTCTTCCTTTCATTTATCTTAATTCTAATTTGTAGTTTCACTCTGGCCACACATGATATCCAGATTTTTGGACAATAACAGGGACCACCCAGAAGTGTTTCAGGCCTCCTCCTTCAACAGCTCCCTCTCTACGTCGCCCCACAGTAATGGCTCCGTTCGACCAAAAAGACGCATTAAAATCTAATCGGGACGGCAATGACACACAGTAGTCGTGCGCAGCTTTATTTGCAAAGCAGATGGAAGGCCTTGGCCTGTCCGACATTAATTACAATCACATTCGGAGAGGAAGCCGTCCCTCCTCCAGGGCGGTCAGGACTTTGTGTACGGCTGGAGGAGATGGCAACCTAATCCCCCAGGTCACCGCAGAAATCTGAGGGAATTGTCAAAAGATGCACAGGATGTGATTAATCAAAGTAGGGGAGCCAGATGTGCAGCGGCACAGGAGTATAAACCAAAACCTGCACAGCAGAGGAAGAACAAAACCACAGACACACAAACACCACACTGCCACCATCACACCAGACTCCCACCTCGCTACCCCCCCCGTGGCCCCTGCCGCCCCCCTACAGAAGCCTACAGAGGGGGTTCGATATTTGAGACCAAAAACGACGGCTTCCATCTTTGTGGATATCTGGTTTTCATCACGGCATATTGCAGCACCAACACCCAGAGGACCAATAAGTGGAGAAGTATTTTGGATGTCGGCCACTTCAGCCTAATTCTTCTCATCACAGGAAGAATAGAGGGGCTATTTATGGTTTATACAGGTGAGGAGGAAAACATTTTTAGAACGTCTGGTCCCACGAGGAGGGCAGGAGGGGTGGGGGAAACAAAACTCCAAAACATAATTCTGGAGTGGTGAGACGTTCCCGCTGCTCTGATGGCCAAACCATGACAATACCTTCTGTTCCCAAGAAGAATGCTAATCAATCTGGTTTCAGACCTCCTCTTCCACTGGCCTGCGACTCTGGCAGGACCTCTGTTTATCTTCCAGAGCTCTGTTTAGAGTCTCCCAGTAAACACTGGAGCTGCTAATGGAAGGAAGGGCTTTGAGCTTTCATGTTCCAAACTCGTTATGATTAAAGTGTCCCTGTTTATCATGCTGGGGGCTAATTAAAGACCAATCCGCTCGGAGGGGAAACACAAACAATGCGACGCAATTTACGCACAGAAAAACCCGCAGCTTTTTAGCGCTGGAGGTCAAGATCAGGAATAAGCCTTTATATACAAATACCAGTGGTGGCGGTTGATGGTTTTGCCGAGGATACTGGGTTTATTCTCCCGCTTTAAAACATACATCACGGAGCAGATTGCACAGCGAGACTGACCACAGAATTTCGGTCCCATAAGTGAATGGAGGAGGGCAAATTTATCCGGAGCGAGGACGCAACAATAAATTACCCAGAAACAATACGAAGCTCATTTGTCCCACCGCATAGGAAATGAGTGAGTTACTCGCTCCCTTTGTGGTGTGCGCACACAGTGGGGGAGTTCATTATAAACTACTACACTGTGAAGGAAATGCAGGTAAAGTGAGGCATCAGGTTAATTTGGGACAGGAAAGGTAATAAAAAAAAATAAATAAAAAAAAAAAGCAGACCCAGTGAAGACCCTTGGCTTGGTTAAGTGAGCCAACACAATGGTTTGGTAGTTTATAACCAAAATCAAATAGTCATTTTGGTCACTTGTGATCATTAAATCACATTATATAACTGAGGAGACGCCGCATCATGTCAATCCCAAAATTAGGAATCGAGATGTGCTTTTATTAAGTACATTTCATGAGACAATAGGCTGATAAACTTTGCATTACCAGTGAACGATATAAAAACATGAATGATGAAATAATGGTGTATCGTAGCAAAAATATATGCTTTGTTTAGTAATTATAGAAATCCTCTTTTCCAAAATAAGCTCATTTGATGAAGCAAATTGGGACAATATGCTTCTAGAAATCGTTTTTCAAGCATATAAGATAGAAATGAATTTCTGCTATACCTCATAAAACACTGAATATACAGCAACACAGACATAAACATGCCTAAAGACTGCCTTTAAGTTAGATGTAGTAAAATAGAACAGGAATATTCTCATTTCACTATTTGGATGACTACTTCTGTAGTCCACTGCTACAACAATAATTTTTGGGAAATGACTTAAATCATTTTGGACGGTGAACCTCCATGAACATGATCATCAAATGTATTTAGTTTAGTAATCCAGTTTAATTATTTTCACAGTCAGTGACAGTCTGGGGAGCTATGTCGTCTTCATGCTTCCCTCGTCTTCATGTAGATGCTGATTCAACTTTGTTGTAGGGCTTAACACCTGACCACACGGCCGAATGTGTCATTACTGTGTTTAAGGACTACGGCATCTCTGTTTTTGTTTGGCCAGCAAATTGGTCTGACATAAACCCAAACAGAAAGTCTATAGTTGAAGCAATCTGGACTTACCTAACATCAGCAAACTCACAGGCTGATCACATTCATGCCACATTGCAATTATACAGTAATTCATGCAATGGGAGCCCAAATACTGAGTATACAGTGAAGTATCTGAACATATTTTTCCATGTGCTCATATTTCTGTATTAAAGCTTAAAAAATAAATAAATAAATAAAATTAGTCTAGTTTGTGTTTTCTCGATTCAAATTTGGTTTTTCCAGTTCTGGAACTAATAAATGATTGAGCTGAATTTCCAAAATAATTGAAGATACGACGATGCATGGAGGTGTAGCCTCTGCTTGTACACGCTCGCTGTCTAATGTTTTTATTCTTTCCATCTTAATGTAAGCAGAACATTATTACATCCTGAACATGGACAGTCACAAAGAGGAAGAAAGTGCAGGAGGCGCCGAAACATCATGGAAAATTAGTGGAGAAGAGAACAAGTGGGGAGAGGGGAGGAGGAGAGAGAGAGAGAGAGCGAGAGAGAGCAGACCTCAGCTGGGGAAAATATTTATAAAGGATATGAGAATACAGTCACACTACAGACTCGATGAGAATCAACAATAACCGTTTTACAGCTTTAAAAATGGACCGCAGCAACAAAACATCCCAAATGATCAAACATGTCCCTTGAAATTGTGACGCCGCAGGCTGAACATGTAGACATAAAGTGAGCCGATAAACCTGAAGCAACAAAACCTATATGACGCGCGATTAGTTTTTACACTCAGCTGAGTTCAGAAGGTGTATTCATCAATAACGTCCCTAACGTCCCATCCTACACGTGCGTAATGGCGCGCCGTGATGGAGAGCCAAACCGCGGAGCAGGTCTACAGGTGGACAAGGAAACAGAAGTGCTTCTTAAAGTAACAGGTGGCCACCTTTGCATCCGTGTCCTAGTATTTCACTCTTAAATTACATTTTACGCCTCTCAGTTTTCTCTTCGATTCCCAACAACAACAAAAGACGCCTCCAAGCACAAACAAAAGATATTTTCACTGCACTCACCTAAGTTAACGAAGCTCATCACCATATCCGCGTCGTTCAGGAAGGCCGTTTCTTGATACGTTGCCAGAGGAGGGCTCTGGGTGGCCGGAACGGACTGGTGTCTCTCCAGCGCGCCTTCCACTTGGCTTTTCTCCTCGCTCGATAAAGTTTTGTACAAGTCCAACATGAAAAGTGGAGCGGAGTTGTACTTTCCGTGGGACAGATGCGGCCGCGGTCTGTGCGGCAGCCCCAGGACGGACAGGATTTCCTTCTGCATCTCCCTTTTTTCGTGCGTCCGCAGCCTCCGGTGGACGAAGCCCGGCTGCCCCTCGCCGATGCCCTCCAGTGAGTAGTGACTCCCCGCCGCCGCGGACGTGCAGTAGTAAGCGCTCCACCACACTCCGACCAAGGCAAGCAGGCGGCTGGTCATGGTGTTGTCCCCCGCTGTGCTCTCCGGAGTCCCCCGACTGAGCCTGGCGTGGAGTTTCGGTCGCCTCTCCGAACGCGAATCGCGCGTAATGGTAGCCAAAGTCCACCCGAGAACGGCGCTCAGTCGAAACGATTGATCAAAAGCACGGCAGAAGTCCCGTATCAAGCCATTTGAAATACTCACTAAAGGAAAATACGCATAATAGCACCGCTCCCGCTTTCATTTCTGCTCCCCGCAGCGCGCTTTGCTGCTCCAGGATAAAGTGCACCATGTGAGAGTTTATTCTGAGCGCTCCGCTACTCTTCGGTCAGTGGACACACTTCCACAAACAGAACTGCGCCTCTGGTTGAAGCCATTCTGCTGAAGCGGACACATTCACTCCCGGAGTTGATGACAAAAAGAGAGAGAGGGAGAGAGAGAGAAAAAAAACGGGGTCTCAGCGGCGCTCCAACTCCTATAGGTTGAGTGTGGAAAGAATCAGCAGGTTGCAGTCCATAATATCTCTGTGCGTGTGAATTCCTGCCGAGTGTGTGTGAGTGTCAGAAACCGCCCACTCCGTGTGCCCTTAGAGGTGGAGCTCTTTAAACTAAGTTCATCATATTTCCATATTTTGTTCATCGCTCTGTTCAAATAACTCCGATTGGTGACATATAATTTTAGTAATGAGATTTTCACTTTGTGTATACATATTACGTTTTTTGTTTTGTTTTGTTCTTTTAAAGCAATGTGATCTAATTCAGATTTATAATTTCAAAAGTTTCGCAGGGTTTGGGGTTAAAATGAGCGCGTCCTTCACGCGTTGAGATTCTGGGGTTATTCTCGTGTTTGCTTACAGATGCATGACTTCAGCCACTGAGCTGAGATGTCCAGTGGAGGCACGACCCCTGACGATGGACTTGGAAACAGCAAGTGGATCATGCGCATCACCTTCCCGGCGATGCAGCTCTGAACGGCCCCCTTAATTTAATTAAATCCAGTTCATCAGCGTAAATTCAACAATAATATCACCTCAAAAGGTATTCACAACGCAAACGGGCGTAGTTTCTTTCCCGTTGTGTAGAGTTATGTAATAGAAAATGACCGAACCTGATCATAGATGTACATGCATTTGAGTAATTTACATTCAGTGGAATCTGATTGCGATTATAATAAAACATAGGAAAATTCAGATGCTTATATAGTCAACTGCTAGTCTAGAGCACATTTAGGAAGTACTGAGAGATCAACACATTAGAAAATGGTAAAGAATGTAGAAGATTCGCATGTTTTGTTGACTAATAGTTTTTCCTTCTAGCCTTAAAGTTGGATATCACATATTTTCCGGGCACTTGGCACCATTTTATAGCATAATCAGGCAACTGTGTTACCTTAAGTTATAAAAATACAGCATATCATATTATATATATATATATATATCTCAAGAACAACTTTAAATGGGCTTCTGTCTCTTTAAGAATTTCCCATCTTTTTGGACACTCCACCCTCAGCACTTCATCATAAAAGTGATTCTTCATTGATGCCATCCATTGATGCTGTTCACATCAATTTTGGAGCAGTGCAGTTTGTATAAGTTCAGACAAGTGGCCTTCCACCAGCTGTTTGCCAGTTGCTGCTGCTAGTCTGTAGGAGCTGAGTGGTTAAGGTGCTCAGTGACGTGGAAGCTGGAAGCCGCAGCTCCACGGAGGAGCCTTGGGTAAATAGAGCTTTGTGGGAGTCAATAAGGCACCCATGAACGGTTGCTACGGGAGATTGAAGGATTTCTGGAAACATGCATGACTGTGTCAAAGCAACACCATGTTTTTGATGAGGGGATGACATTACAGCATGATGTAAGCTCAAAACACAGCTGATGTTTATTATCTTCTGCTTATAATTCCATATTATTTAGGGTTTCGATCTCTCGGCTCATGTTCTATGACTGTTTGGAAAAAAAACAGTTTCGCCGACAGTGTTGCTGGATGGAATAATGAACGGGGAACATCTTTTGACTTTTCAGCCACAAGAAAATGTACAGCAAGCCACCAAAAAATAAAAAAATAAAAAATAAAAGAATTAGGTCCTGGTTTGACAAATCATGGATTATAGTAATGCACTGCTCGGTGACATGTTAATAAATGGGCCCTTAGAGCTGGCTGGATTGAACGGTTTACTGACTCAGCCATTGTTAGAGCACCTGAATGTGGTGGGAAACAAACAATTTATGTCGAGTAGATAAAGCAAATCTCCCTGAGACTCTGAAGACATCTGCTCCTAGGGAGCGCTCAATAATCGCTTAGTCAACATTATGATTTCAATTCAAAGCAGAGAAAAGTCGATTATGTTAGAGGGTTAAAAAAAAAAAAGAACTCCTTAAAATTCTAGTTTCCTCTTCCTGTCTTTCTCTCCCGTCACTCCTGTCCCCCTGCCCTGTGTTTTGTCTCCATGGTGCCTTCAGCCTGTGATGGTCCTGATGATAAGCCTCAAAGGTGTCTATATGTCCCAGTGTCTATCTTATCTGCATGTGAAGAGTGAGAAGCAGCATCAAAGCCACACATTCCTCCACCACCAACCAGGCAGACACAAATACCCTCTGCTGGGAGGCTTTCAGGTTAAAAACAATGAGTCTCGTATCACCATGAGCTGCAAAACAAATAAAATAAAATAAAAAAAACAAGTCTGAAAAGTTTGTATGAAACAAATGGCTGATATAATAAAACCAGAACAGAAAGTTCCAGCTGCCAAAAAAAAATCTGCTGTCACTAAAGTAATTTATTTGTCTTTTTTTAACTCCTCTTAGAAGCCATTTTTCCATTTGTTTGAAAGAAAACACAGTTCTGATTCATAGCATGGATTTTGTGTTGAAGCTGCACAAAAATCAATCCTTCCAGTGGAAATTATTTTAGGTTTTCTTTTCTCTCTCTCTCTCTTTTTTTTTTTAGAAGAAGCCTTTTTGGCTGCAGCACTGTACAGGAAAACAAAGCGGTGATTATTTTCTGGATAAAACGATGGAAGGAAATGGGTCATTTCTACCGCCTTGCACTGTGTGAGTCAGCTCGGGGTAACAAAAAGCAACAGATCCATGTTAAAAGCTTCGTGCGCCATTAATCTTTGTCGTGTCATATTAAACAAACATTGCCGGGATTGTAAAAAAAAAAAAAAAAAAGGGGTCGCAGCTGATCCCGGACCCAGTCGCTGTCACGGCGATCCAGATAAACGAGCAGACCAGACTGACAGGAACTTAAACAGCACTTAAGTTCTGCTATATTTATTTGACGCTGATCAGTTGAGCATGTTTGCAAGTGTGTGTTCATGGCATGAGGTGGAGCAGGTGATGTGTGTGTGTGTGCTGGGTGAACTGGAAGCAGAGGGAGGAGGAAACATTAAACAGGAGCTCTGTGTCCTGTCATCACAGCGTCTAGACAGGACACCTCCTAAACCTAATGAGGTTTTTCTGCGTGTGTGTGTCTGGATCACCCAGACAACTGTGCATCCACATAGACATTCACTGCTGTACACTTTGGGGTTTAGACCTTCTTGTGAAACTTTTATTAAAAACAGAAAAAAAAAAAAAGAGTTCAAACTTGCAAACAGCCATAAGCGTCATACGTACGATGTATTTGCACACATTTCTCTGAAGCTAAAGCCTACGCTTCGTAGCCACAGGAATGTTTACACCTGGCACAGATCCGACAAGAGGACTTCGGATTTAGTCACACAAGCTTGCACAGATATGCGAGCAGACTTATCAAGTGGTTTTCACATCAGTTCAAGGAATCGGTGACAAGATGGTGCAGGTTTGATGCTTTTTGAAGCCACTTTAGTCCTTTGTGTTGGGTTTGTTTTGTGGTAATCTGTTAAAGTCCTGGTTTGCTAAGCACACAAATATTTCTGAGAAATGATTTGATATGTTTTGAATAAATGGGAGAGGGGGGAGAAAAAGCTGAACTACAGGGCTATTTTTTACTACTTTAATACAGAAAATAATGCAATTAATGAAGATTTTATTTCCCATACGAAGCATACGGCACTGATCTTTACAAAACTTCATCATTGTGTTTCATATTCTTGATTTTTGCATGTTGTAAAGCAGTAATTATTCAATTGACTGCAACACAAGTTTGTGGCAACAATAGACTGAGATCACCTGAAGTCACAGTTCATAAGTCCTCCTACATGTGAAATGCTATGGGAATTTCCCTCCTCTTCCATATCCTGAAGAAAACTGGATTGCCCCGGGAATCGCTTCAGCCTGGATGACTTGGACTCCGTGATCAAATTCATACTGCATGGCCTGGACAGAGCAAAAGAGGAAAATTCAACCAATAAAAATGACTCAGAACAGGGGTTGCCACATGTAAGATGAACAGACATCCTGGAGAAAGCTACTTTTACAAACTCATCTACATAAACCACCCAGGCCAATATCTCAGATCAGAACAGGAGCTTTGCAGTATCTCAGTCATCATAGCGTCTTTAATGTGTCCAAAACTGCAATCGAAAAGGATGAATCGGATGCAATATTTTTGTAGGATTTTATATTTTAGGTGCCACACTCAAATTATACAAGTGGAGAATATCACAAAGAGCGTTTCATTGGGATTTTATGTCATGCATGGTTATCAAATTTCATTGCAAATAATGTGTGTGATTAGGCGCCTTTGCTCTCAGACCTTTTGGTGAATTTCTGATGCTAAGACGCCATCAGGTGTTAAAAACTTTGAACAACTTTCTTCTGTCCGTTTCTTTGTACGGACCAGAAGTCATTGAATTGGGTGTAAACTGAGAAACTGATCCGTCATTTAAACACTAGTGCTGCTGTGGACTGTGTGAAATGAAGAGTACCTGTGTGAAGGACTGGGCGTCGTAGCAGCTGAACATGGCTGAGGAGCGGTCTGTCCGCAGGCACTGCTGAGGGAAGGAGCTGATCTGCTCTGCCAGCTGCACAGCTGCCTGCAACGCTGTGATTGCAACGCAAAGCGAATCAATTTACCGGTGGCAGCTCTTGCATGAGCGACCGTCCGATCAATCAAAAGGCGGGAAAATGATTTAAATTCTGGAGGAGGACAAAACTCAAAGCATTCCTGCACAGAGCAGGTAGAATCATCTACGATTTAAGCATGTGGGTAGCCTCAAATCCCAGCTGAGTGGACAAACATAAAAGCAATAGTAAACTTGCTAAAGGTGCAACTGTCAGAGAGGTTTTATTTTTTTTTTTTTTTTTTAACATTGCATTTGTCCGAACACCCTTGTTTGATGCTGCCCTGGGAAACTACCCATATGGCGCATATCAAAAACTACTGCGGCAGCTTAGACACACAAACACAACGTATGTGTGCGCGGAATGGCAAACGTGGCTGCATGTGAAGGAAAATGCATGCAGAGTGCTTATGAAGAGTTACAAAGGAAAAGACTCCTCATAATGCGGCTGAGGGTTCCTAGCTTTACGTCACTACACCTCCTGACCCACATCAAAGCCCTGGACCCAAACCAGATCCCTCCTATGGAAAACACTAAACCTGCTGATGGCACACTTTGAT